CCCAAATTCATACCAGACCCTACATCTGAGCACAGGCCCAGTGAAGGGGGAGACGATCAAGCACCCCCTCCATGCCATACCAGCCCACATGCCATCGGCATTGGTAGGGTGTCCCCATGCCGCTGGGGCCTCTTTCCCACAACCCTGGCCCAGTGGTTGTGGGGGGTCCCCTAATTAAGGGGGGACCCAGATGCCACCCCCTTTTAAATGAGTAAAGGGTACTTGTACCTACTCATTCACTTAAGGGTTAGATGTAAATCTAAATAAACACACCACACATTTTGAAAAAGTCCTTTAATTAAAAAAAAAAGTCGGTTTTTGACAAGTCTTTCATAATAAAGAATAAAATAAAAACAATCCATCAATGTAATTCAATGTCAATCACTATGAACGACGCTTGTTGACTCGCTGAAATAAGAAAATAGTCCCTGAAATGAAAAAAATAAATAAATCACAAGGTATTTGTAAAGGCATTGTGAATTTTGTTGGAGTTCCACTTTAAGTGGTAAAGCTGCCCTTCAGACAGAAAACCCTAAATAAATAACAACAAATTCTATAAATCCACTTTGTGTGCACCAAATTTTGCAAACCCAGATGTTTGTACAAGTAGTGGTGACTACAGCAGGGGGCGGAGGCAAGACCAGTCATCCTGCACAAGGAAAGAGAGCAGCAGTGGCTGGTCTTTACCACAGGAAATTCCCGTACAGAGGCAAAATGCAAATGTTGTTTTCATGCTGAATCACTGCATAGATCTGGAAGAAATACGCAAAGGACACTGAGAATCAACTAATACACGCAGCTCTCCTATTTAGACAATATTTGTTTAGCATGGAGTTTAGCTTTAAGGTTCTTTTTCCTTGGCTTCACTTCCAATTTACACTTCAGTGTACCTCTAATTTAAACACATTTATAAAGCCAAACATGAGACCCATAGATAAGGACACTCTTAACATTAATTCTGCTTGCAAAATATCAACTTGTTCCAGAATGTTATTTTTCTTTATATTTCTCTATATCTAAAAGAACAAAGCACTTTATTTTCAATCAAATATTTACTCATGTAAGTCTTAAACCTGCTTCTGCAGTTTCTTTATAGGAAATGCTATTCTATATTCATATGGAAGCTCCATACTTGGCACCAATTACATCTGTTACCATGGAAACTAGAGTTAAGGTGAGATTCCAAGAAATGTGTCAGGCATTAATGGATCTCAGTGTATTTATATGCACTGTTTCCAGTGATTAGGAAATACCCGCAGAACAATTTGCTGGAGTACGTTTTTCCTTTATATAGCAGAGCATGTCTTTTCTGCATGCAGTGCATTCCATCACCAAGCGCATTTGATACGTGCAGCATTATGGGCAGTGGTAGTATTTAATGTACAATAGAACAAGTTATCAACAATGCGTATAAACAAGAATGGAATATTATTCCACTAGAAATCAGATCTGTAAAATTAGCTATTTATAGTGTGACATTTCTATATGCGCTGTGCTAAATTAGTTTGATTAACCTCACCATTAGGAAGCAAGACACTTACTTCACATTGAGAGACATCTTCAAATCTATCCTTTGGTTGGAAACAAAACATCTTGGTAGAAGGCCACTTACTATACAAAATTTGCCAGTAACAGTCAACGCTGCTTCACTGCTCTTCATATCAGACTGGGGAATATTCTGCTTTTAGAAACAATAAACCACCTACCTGAACATCCATGATTTCACCAGCTATTTCTAAGGTTTTTTCAGACATCTCCCAAGACTTGTTATTGTAAGTTCTCTTACTTTCACTCTCCTGGCAATACCTTTATTGAGTCCCCTCTGTAAGCATTGCCATAAAGCAATCTTCACAATCTTTTTTCAGTCACTTTTTAAAAGTATGCATAATCTCTAGACACCCCAGTCTAAAATGTCAAAAAAACAATAACAAAGTAAAAATGTGTTGTCCCCTAAAATCAATACCAGACCCATATCCTAGACAGGGGTCTGGTATGGGTTTTAATGAGGACCCCAGGCAAAGAAACAAAAAGACTACGTGGTGTCCTCTCTCTTTCACATAAGAGCCCCCCCTTTCACACCACAGTCCTCCGATTTTACATCAGAAGCCCTACTTTAGCAAAAATGGCAACAATGACAGAAAACACCCCAAGGGCCACGGCACCCTGGTTGAGAAAGGCTGCCTATGGCCCATTTCACATGGGCTGATTAGGAGGGGATCCATGTACGGATCTTCTAGTAATGGAAAAAACTGAAATGACCAGACCCTATGTAGGTCTACGGGGAATCGGATTTAAACGAACATGGTGTTCATTTACTCCCAATCTGGCACAATCGGGTCCAGCAAAACGGATCTTTGATACATTTGTTTTTCTGCACCTGGCCGGAGTCGGGGGTAACTGGGCAGCCATGAGTGTGTGCCATAGATTAGCATTGGGCATCTGATCAGGTCCACCTGAAAAACTGAGAGGTGGACCCGATCAGACTACTTGTGTGAAAGGGGCCTTAAAAGCCATTTCCTATGCTTTGCCTACCTCACTATATATGGCCACCAAAAAGTGATAGGATTCCAATGACAGGGAGCTAATTGTGATAAGGTTACCAGAGTAGTTGAATTTAGATTAGATATTAAAGATATGTCTTAAATAATATGGAAAATACACAATCTTGTGTGAAAAGCAGGAGGAATGCCTTTGAACTGCCATAGGCTGATGGTCCTCAGCATCCATGTGTTACTGTCCAGGAATGGTATCCTAAGATTACCATGCTAGAAAGTCCACACAGCCCCTCTCTATCAAGATCTCTGCTGGGGAAATCTTACCCCTAAATAAAAATTCAGTGGAAGACTCATCCATGCAGTATCTAGCTATGACTAAACCATAAGATTGGGTAGATGAAAGGCTTTATATATTCTGACAATAATATTTATAAAAAAGAAAACCTAGTTGTATTGGTTTTACAGAATTAATACAAGAGCAGAATGCATAGCATTGTTCACAGTTGTAGGCAATAAATGGTTGGGCATCACTTTGTATTGCACATTTTTAAATACATTAAACTCCCCATCATCAAGCATTCAAGCAATCAGCACTCTCAAGCAACCGGCAAAAAAAATATAAAAATCGAGGACTAATATGTCTTTGATTTTTCTTTTGTGGTTGTTTCATAGACATAGGGACACTAAAAAACAAAATTTCTAACTAAGTTCTTTGTTTACACTTTCTTCTGGCCGGTGGCTGGATTCCGCGGTCCGCAGCAGAATGTAAACAATGGGGAGCAAAAGCCAGCCTGCTATTGGCTATTTCAAATTGCAATAATCAATAGCTGGCTGGCTATTGCGCCCTACCACTGAGAAGAGGAGCAGACCTGAGAGAGAAAGTTCTCTCTCAGTTCCGCTCCTCTGCTCAGTGGGTGGGTGCAGTAGACAGCCTGCTACTGGATATTGCAATTTGAAAGAGCTGATAGCAGTCTGGCAATTGCTCCTGCCCACTGTCCGCTATTTCCATTTATCTGCCAGCTGGCAGATGAATTGGGGCTGCGGGGGGTTGCTTGAGAGTTATTATTAACTCTCACGCAACAGAAACTACAGTTATCCAGTATCTACTAGGGATGCACCGAAATTTCAGCCGCCAGGGTTGTGGGAAAGAGGCCCTTGTCCCCATTGGGTCCTCCCTGGAAAAAAGCACTCCCCCAATGCCGAGGGCATGTGGCCAGGTATGGTTCAGGGAGGGGGGCGCTTGGTATGGAATTTTATGGGGGACCCCACGTTTTTGTTTTTTTGGCATTGGATTCCTACCAGATCTAAAGGGTCTGGTATTGTCAGGGGAACTGCACGCTTTTTTTTTTTTTTACATTCCTATGAGACCTAATGGGTCTGGTATGAATAGGGGGGGTGAACCCTATGCTGTCTTTTTTATTATTGTTTATTTTAATAGTTGAACACTTTTCTGCATTCTCTGACAGCTGTCATTTTCCCTGTTTACATTCGGGAAACAGTCCGAATGTAGCAAAGAAGCTGAGAACTGTTACAGAATAACACACAGATCTCAGCTTCTTTCTTTGTTAATGTTCTTTAATATAATTCTGATACTTTGTTAACATTCGGGGAAACGTCCAGAATGTCAGCAACGTGCAGAGAAGCGGAGAGCTGTAAATGACAGCTGTAAATGTTTAGAGCGGCTAAACAGATTTGCACATAATAATAATTTGCAGAAATTTGTACGAATGTCAATTCAGAATGAAACTAATCGCACATGTCTAACTCATACTATATCCTCAACTTATGAATAGACAGGAGTATAGAGGCTGCAGAAAAAGAGATTGAGGACTCTGTGTCCTCAATCTATTTATCTATTTCAAAAGGGAAATATCAGGGGTCTGTTTAGACCCCTGATATTTCCCAGAGCCCCCCCCCCAACAGTAAAGTAAAAAAAAAATAATAATATATAAAAAAATATTTGTAAAAAGGTTAGAAAAAAAAATTGGGGGTTTTGGCCTGACAAATTTTTTATTTTCGGTTTAGGTCTGAAAATTACATTTTGGTGCACCTGTAGTATCTACCTATCCCTGTTGGTGTTGGATAATGGGGAGTTTACTGTATTTTGCAGTGGATAAAGTTGTAATCACAGAGGGTTGTTTTTGGATTTGGTGACACAGCCCAAACATTTTTGTGACCAAACTGGCTTAAAAATGTAACACTCATACAGATACGATTGTGTGTAGGCAACTGAACTGTGTTACATTGTAGTTGCTAGGAGGTTACCTCTGCCCAGCATAGTTTCATACTGATTCATTTTGCATGTGTAGGGCATGCTGCTGCTTGGGCCCCATAAAGCCTTACTTGTCCTATGCCAACGCTGGAAGCTTATGACAATACAAAAAAAGACACAAGTAATAAAAAAATATCAACAGTTCACAATTCTTAAAATATACACTTTATTGTTACTGGTGCTTATTGTGAATGTCTTATTTAATCTGTGAAGGTATATACCTTTCGAAACTGGAGTTAAGGAATACCCTTGCAAAAGAAAATAAAGAAGCTACAAAATGCTTAAATATATATCTCCCTGTCCATTCTGCTGTGGAATGCATTGTAGAAACATTGTAGAAAATAAGGCAGACTTCTGATAGGGAACCAAACTGCAAAATTTGTTGGAGAGAAAAAGCAGGTGCCATCCTCCCCTTGTAGGAGCCAGTGGACCTTCCAACACATTGCATAGCAACTCCAGATGTCCACTGACATCACAGGATGAAATTAACTGACAGTAAATCAGGGCCGTCACCAAATTAAAAGTACAGCATGTCCCTCTTGTAGTACTGGAATCAAAGCTACAGGGGTTGATTTACTAACCTTTTAAACACACCACGAACGTGTATACACCTCTGTAGTGTGTTCCCTCCCAGCATGATCTATGGGAGGAATCGAAACACCTTTGTAGTGTGTACACACCCAGCAGGTGTGTTGTGGAAAGCCCTGCAATGAATTGCAAGGTAATGTGTAAATTAGCTCTATGTTATGTTGCTTGCGTTGATGAATGCAGGAATGTAAATGCATGAGCTAACCATTTTTGTCTAAACTGTGAAGCAGCATTATATATGCATCATGTGCATGATTTTTCCATATATGGCATTAGTGGAAATATGCTTTTAGAGACTTTTTGGTTGATAAATACGTTTTGCTGTGTGAAAATCACACACACCTGGTGTGTGTGTGTGTTTAGGTTAGTAAATCACCCCCACAGTATCCTCTATGAGACCATCCAGTATCCGTAAAAACTGAAATCAACGTAAATCAAAACCCCAAAACGATAGTTTAAACATCCACATTGAGTTCTTACAGTGCAATACAAATGTGTCATTTGAATAATATTTCTGTATTTGCAATATGAAAATAAAAGGTCTGTACATCAATTAAAGGTATAGTATTGAATATGAATTGTGTGAATTTGTAATGCATCTAAAAGTTGGCTTTTTTGTTATTATTTTTTTATAAATCCATAGAAAATATTGAACATCTAATAAAATAAATAAAACATATTTTAATCATAGATGCTATTGATCAAGTTCAAAAACTCTTCTGTGTAGTTTTTTTTATTTCTTTATACAATTTGCTACTAAACAGCCTTGAGAAAGCTCACTATCAGTAGTGTGCAGAGGTGAATGATTGCCCCCTTTTCAGTGTATACACCTCTGTAGTGTGTTCCCTCCCAGCATGATCTATGGGAGGAATCGAAACACCTTTGTAGTGTGTACACACCCAGCAGGTGTGTTGTGGAAAGCCCTGCAATGAATTGCAAGGTAATGTGTAAATTAGCTCTATGTTATGTTGCTTGCGTTGATGAATGCAGGAATGTAAATGCATGAGCTAACCATTTTTGTCTAAACTGTGAAGCAGCATTATATATGCATCATGTGCATGATTTTTCCATATATGGCATTAGTGGAAATATGCTTTTAGAGACTTTTTGGTTGATAAATACGTTTTGCTGTGTGAAAATCACACACACCTGGTGTGTGTGTGTGTTTAGGTTAGTAAATCACCCCCACAGTATCCTCTATGAGACCATCCAGTATCCGTAAAAACTGAAATCAACGTAAATCAAAACCCCAAAACGATAGTTTAAACATCCACATTGAGTTCTTACAGTGCAATACAAATGTGTCATTTGAATAATATTTCTGTATTTGCAATATGAAAATAAAAGGTCTGTACATCAATTAAAGGTATAGTATTGAATATGAATTGTGTGAATTTGTAATGCATCTAAAAGTTGGCTTTTTTGTTATTATTTTTTTATAAATCCATAGAAAATATTGAACATCTAATAAAATAAATAAAACATATTTTAATCATAGATGCTATTGATCAAGTTCAAAAACTCTTCTGTGTAGTTTTTTTTATTTCTTTATACAATTTGCTACTAAACAGCCTTGAGAAAGCTCACTATCAGTAGTGTGCAGAGGTGAATGATTGCCCCCTTTTCTGTGATATTAAAAAATAGAGTGCATCTATTTTTCAGAGATCAAAAACTCCTTTAGAAAGAGTGCATTTAATGTGTTGATTGTTAACAACTATAAGTGCTTTAAAAAAAAGCAGAGTGTTCTCTTCAAAGCCGCGAAACACGAACAATGATTTTCCTTCACTTGCAAGTCTGAGTTTTTGTTTGTTTCTTTGCATCATCTTTTGGAGGAAACTTTCATCCAAGATATCTTTGATGTTTCCATACAGGTATGAAGAAAATTGGCAATGTTTTTTCCCCCCATTTTTTGAGTACAACCCGTCGGCACTGATATTGCAGCAATCCAGTGTAATTAAACTTGTGATATAAGTTAACGCAAAAAAAAAAGGCTTATTCATTGATTTCATTGTGTTTTTTTAAGTTTACTGCAGGGTACTGGAGGTAACCTTTGACCTGACGATCCATGGAACTTCCACAAAGTGAAGCACACTCTGGCATAGATAAAGTTACCAACAATGAACTGGGTCCCCTGTAAGGATGGGCTTCATTGACTGAAGGGGGTCAGCTATTCTGGGGGCGGTCGTAGAGTTTTAAGCTGTTTTTCGTCTAGTGATTTCCAATATTTGAAGTTGTTATCCAGATGTTGCATTAAGTTCGGTAAGTCAGCAAATGCTGTGGGAGGGAAAATAAAAACTACTTAATAAATTAGGTATTGTAATAGATTTGATTTTAAATTCATCTGAGCAGAAAGTAGCAGAATGCAGAGGCCTGACTTTGAGGTCTACCTTTTTTATGAATATTTTAGTTAAATATCAAAAACAATCTAAGTAAATTAATCATGCTAATTCAAATTTCTTTGATTGGTGTACAAAAGTATGCAATAATCCAATCTTAAAGAGGAACGTTATCCATATCTTCAAAAAAACAACAAAGGCACCTTTAGAAATGTTTAGTAAAGGCAATCTACAAACACATACTTCTAGATAATTGCCAGATTTTTCTTTTTTTGCATACCTTATTTCTCTTTTCTTCCCCATTCTGTTGACAGAGGCTATTTTAACTAAGGGCAGGTTACTAGATCTCCCTTTACTTCCTGGAACTTTGGCACATGTAACTAGGACATGTGACCATGCACATCATCTCAAGGGAGGAAAATGCCACAGATGAGATTCCCAGCAATGCTCTGCTGAGGTAACTTTGCCAGGATGCAATACTTGGGCACGATTACATCATTTGTGCCAAAGTGGGAAAAAAGAAATTGCAAGTAAAATAAAAATATGTTTGTTTAACCACTTGCTGACCCGGGTGTTTACACCCCCTTCCTTAGCCATTTATCAGTATTCAGCGCTGCGATACTTTGACTGACATTTATTCCGACATGCAACGCTGTACTGAAATTAATTTTATAAATTTTTTTGGGGACAGATAGAGCTTTCTTTTGGTGGTATTTAATCACAACTGGGGTTTTTCTTTTTTTTACTATATAATGAAAAAAGTACCGAAAATGTTGAAAAAAAACCCCCCTTATCCCTACTTTATGTTATAAAACATTTGTTATTACCCAATTTTTTGGTAAAATATAAAAGACAGGGTCATGTCGGGTAAATAGACACCAAACATGTCAAGCTTTAAAATTGCGTGCACCCGTTAAATCGCAAAAAACTACCATACTCAAAATTGACCATAGCCGACGCTTTAAAAGCTTTTACCGCTCATCAGTTTAGTGTTATCAGTGATTGATGACCCTAGAATTATTGCTCTCACTCCGACGTTCGCTGCGATATGTAACATGTGCGGTGCAATGGATGTAATCGGCGTTTTCGCACGTAGGCGGGCTTGACGCATGTTTGCGTGTGCATGTGGGGGCGGGGGACTTTAATTTTTTTTTTATTATTGCTTTGATATGTGATTTATATATTTTTATTGTAACTTAAATTTTTTTAAACCTTTTTTTTTTTCCACTGAACTTTATTGCTATCACATAGGGAGCAAACAAGCTCCCTATGTGATAGCCAATTTGCAGTGACAGGTCCTCTTTATGGAGACATCAGGGGTCTTTAAGACCCCTAATGTCACCTTGGGACCCCCAGAGAAGCTGATGAAGCAGAGACCTGCTTCACCAGCTTCTCTCCGGTTTCTGTACCGGAGAGTGACAGAGGAATGCAGGCAGTGATGTAATACACATCAATGCCTGCATTGAGAAGAGGAGATAAAACGGAGCTCGTGTACTGAGCTCCTTTTGATCTCCGGCCGCAGAGCTGCTGTGCTGGTCCCGGGCTCACACTGGGAACAGCGGAGCCCGGGATCGCCAGCAGCAGCGGCGACGGATGGGGCGCACACCCGACCACATATTACAAGCGATCGGGCATCTCTACAGATGCCCGAACGCTTGTATGTAAACAGCCATCGCTGATATTGATAGTATGTGGACAGGGTTTCTAAGTTGACTTTGAATATGTAATCATATGTAGGAGAAGTTAGGAATAAAAAATAAAATTTTGCCTCGTACAAAATTGGAATTATTCAAGTGAACACAGCTTTACTTTATGCACTAAGCAAAGTGGAAATATTCTGCTGCTTCAGTTAAACAACCCCAGTGTGTGCTTTTTAGTGTATTTATTAGCTTGGTCTTGTCTGCTGTGTTAGGTGATTTCTTCCCACCACCATGCTTTTCTATAACATCAATTAATGATAAGAACAGTCACTGGCTAAAGCGTTCACTGTAAGCTTTCTCCTGCATTAGTGCACTGCTGACACTTAGCTATACAACAGAAGGAGATATCATGTGAGGCTAATTTAAAAAAAAGTTAGCATCCCTGTCGCTGACAATAAGGTTTGTCAGTCTGCACCTTTAAATACTGTATGTAATAACATAATGAATTCCCTAATATAAAATGTCATCTTACCATCCCATGCATCAAACATGTCAGTGATGAAATAATCCACAAATGAAATCTGGGATTTAGGAATACTACACATATTCCTGTCAAACACGGGCATTACCACAGGCAAACCTTGCTGCTTCTCTTCATCTGTCTGCAGAAAAGAAAAACATTATTTTACACTTAGATGTAATTGTTTTACATTTTCTTATAATAACTGAAAATATAACAGGTCTTATGGGTAATATGGATTTGTAGTTATCACATATTCTGGGTCTATAAAAAAATCCTTGAGGACAATCAGGGGCAGATACAGAGGAAACCCATCCGGCACCCACAGCATGTATGGCAGGTAGTGAGGGTCACAGACAGAGCTGCTCTTCTCACAAGGCAATGTAAGAATCTTGGCTCAGATGGCACTGTCTAGAATGACATGAGACAATCGTCTTCTAGATCCTTGAGCTTAGAAAGCATAAAGGAGTAGAACAATAGTAAGTGGATTACTTTCCTCCATAAAACATGGTACCCATTTAGAGCAAATAAAAATTTCAGTTAAATATAGATCACATATTACTGGCTTAAATGGGAATCCCATATGCCACAATCCCATATTGTACACACAAAAAAATTCTAGCAGACAGGGGAACTAATTTTTTAGCAAAAGATACATAAAAGTATCTTCTACCAAAAAAAACCCCCTTTATCTGCTAGCTTTAGATCTTTTTTAAGTCTGCATGAGTGCATGAGTCTGCATGAGTGCCCTGAAGTGTATATTTTACCTGAGCAAAGTACTCCTCTGATATTCTACCAGCCCACTCAATACACTGCTCCAGTGCTCGGCATGGATTGGAGATGTCTGCACACTTAATAAGCATCCTCTTTATAAGTATCCGATTTTCTGGGGACGTCAAAACATTTTTAAGAGACTCATCCTCACCAGTGCTCTGAGGGAAAATAAAAGAGGCAAACATAGGGGTTAATACTAAAGGCTAGAGTCAATCAAAGCTTTGGGACTTCTGAACATGTTCCTTTCATTTATAAAGCCTCAAAAATATTTAATGGCAGCACAAAAACAAGCGAATACAGCTATAGTACAGTTCATAAAATAAAAATGACAAAGGAGCCCATGTATAGTTAAATTGTTGACCTCGGTTTTAACTGCTGCCTATGTGCATGTCTGAAATATTAAGGGGAGATATAGGCAGCAATTAATCTTTTTTGTGGCGATTGGGGAGATTCTTCCTCACTTCCAATGCAGGTGTCAGACACAACAAGAAGTAAGGAGAAGTCTCCCCAATTAGGGCACTGACAGCAACAAATACAGTTAGATTCTTCTAGAAATACTGAGCCTCTGTCTATATTTCCATTGAGGAGATTCTCCCACACTTCTAATCTAGTTGATAAGTGTCAGAAAGAACAAGAAGTGATCGGAAATCTTAATGAAGGCATCATTTTAAATCTTACACAGAGGTTCCAAGACAAATTCTAACTGTAACAAGTACTGTCTGTATTTTTTTGCATTAAAATCTAACAAAACTATTGAAATAGAAAAAAAACCCCAAACTTAGGAAGGTTTTAACCCTTATCCACAATAATGGAAAACGTTTTGGCCAGAGTCAAGCTTCAACAGCTATAGACAATACCAAAGCATTTCTACAGATCCTTATATGAATAACCCAAATGTCTTGTTCTTCATTGTTACAGAACTAAGGTACCTGTACGTACCATAAAATATTCTACAAGTTTCCTTATGCAAAGCATAAAAGAGAAGTTATTGTCTAGAAAACCTAAAAAAACCTCCTATTCATACAAACTGTATAAAAAGTAAGTACAAACAACTTACCACAGTAAAAAAGACAATAGATCAGAATACATGTTAATGTCTGGCTGAAAGGTCATGTATTTCTTCACTGTGCAGTCCCACTGCATTGTATAAATGTGTAAATCTATAGATGAACCAGGCTTATTGGCTGGAGTGCTGTGCCCCTATTCCCTGTATTAAAGAGGTCCAGATGTCAACAGCGACTGAAGTTTCCCTGTTCATGCTTGCTATAAAGTCATAGCATAAAGTGCAATTATATTATTGTGATTCCCCTGCCCCAAAGATCAAAGATATCCCCAGTTAGCAATATTCACTAACCATAATACCTCAAGTAAACCTGTCAAGAGAAGAATGGGGTCGTCCACTGCTGACCCTCTTCTGGTTGCTGGTTAAAAGAGAACTATGAGGTAACCTTTTTATCCAATAGTTCTCTTTAGGATCATGGGATGACATATACTAACGTCCTCCCATGACCCAAAGCTCAATATATAGTGAGCTATATACTGAGAGCGATGCAGCCGGGACGGTTCCCGATAATACTGTCGAGATCCACCTACCTAGGTGATTGACAGTGGCCTCTGCCTTTATAGAGGCAGAGACAGCTGTGCCCGCCCCTCCCCTGTCCGCTCCTCCAGTCAGCGCTGGAGGAAGGATTAGTGAGAGGAGGGGGGAATCCCTGCCGGGACCGGTGACAGTCAGCGCTCTCTGCAGGGAGGTAATTGGGAGGTGAATGAGCGACGGTATGTGTTCGCTCACTTCCCGATCAATAGAGCAGATGCGTGACAGTTTCAATGTAACACGTTGGCTCTAACTATGAGGATGAGTCTAAATCACTCACCTCGTAGTTCTCATTTAATTGATTGCTATGCTGATCCACTTTCTTTAATGTGTTATGTATCACTGATCCATAACAAAGTATGCAGATGAGAAAGGTCAAAGAGAAACATGACACATCCATATCTTTATTAGTTGTGTGTTGGAAACAAATTTATAAGCATACAGCCAGTCAGCTAGGTCACCATGTTTTTTTTCTTTGAATGAAACCTTAAAAACATTGTAATGATTGAGATTTAAAAGTGACTGTGAAGTTAATTATTCATCTGAAGTAACTCCACAGTTACGGCAAGCATGAGCTGGTGTACGCAGTAAAACATTTAGGGGGTTATTCACTAAGCTGTCGAAGGCAGTCGAGTGAATAACCGAGCCGAAGTGAAGGGAGCCGAACTATGTACACCGGCTGGCTTCGGCTCCCTTCGGTTCAGCCGAACATGCTCAGCATGTCTGGCTGAGCCGAAGTGAAGAACCCGTTCGACTCGGCCGATCCAACATCTGGATTGGCTGAGCCGAACACATAGCAGTTCACTCGCTGCTGTTCGCGTAGGATCCCTGTCCCGATCCATACCAGACCCTTTAGGTCTGGTAGAAGGGTTAGGAGGGATCCCAAGTTAAAAAGTAAAAAAAAAATCTGTGGGGTTCCCCCCAAACGTCATAGCAGGCCCTTTATGTCTGGTAGGAATTTTATGGAGGAACCCCACCCCCAAAAAATGTGGGGAAAAAAGTGGGGTCCCCCCTAAAATTCCAAACCAGACCCTTAATCCTAGCACAGGCCTGACAGGGCAGGAAAGCGGGGTACGAGCAAGCGCCTCCCCCCTCCCTGAATGCTCTCTGAATACCAGGCCAAATGCCCTCTGCATTGGGAGGGTGCCTTTCCAGGGGTCCCCCTAGAAAAGCACCTTGTCCCCATGCCAATGAGGACAATGGCTTCTTCTGCCAAAGGAAGCCAGTAATCGCAGCCTCTCTATTTCTCTAATGATGATTTTTTTAACAGAAACCTTTTACGAAATAACGGGGTCGGCTGCAATGCTGACATCCTCCTGAAAAAGCTGGATGCCTGGCTTCATGATCATTCTCCCAGAGCAATACCTTTTTAGTCAGTTCATGAAAAAAAATAATGCATATTAATTTTTTCTTTCTCCTCTTGCTGCATATGTGTCATCAGTAATAGATAGGATAATACAAGTGATGCCTTTTGATGTAAGGGTATAAGGAATAGTCTTTTAAGATAATGTTCTGAAGGGAAGGCACTTGAAGACTTTGCTGCATTTCATTACAGACTGTGGACAGACTCTCTTTAGCCTGTAACAACTAATGACATGAATATTAGGCTGCACAGTACATGGTAGCATGGTAGTACATTAGGTCATTTTAGTTCTGGCTTCACCTGGTTTTTAGGCACAGTCTTACACACCTCATTCTCTTCAACAGATGCCAATGGCTTATTGATGCTGTTGACAAACTTGTTGACATGTTCAAAGTGCTTTGTCATCTCTGTTGCTAAAACCATGTCGATAATTGCTTGCCGTAATGTACGGTATTCATTCCTGTTACAAGAACACAAAAGAAACACATAAAATGTTATCCAGCCGGTACGTAGAGTTAAAAATAGAGTGATGGCACTTTAGGCACGTACTAGCAGAATTACAAAGAAGTGGTAATACCAGCAGTATAGCTATTAGCCGAGTAAAATGTATTACCAGCAAGCAGAGCAGTATTTGGAATGTTAGAGATTTTGTAAAGCTCGGCTACACCCAAAACTGCTACGTTTATGGCAAAATATAGCCAGTGTCCAAAGACTTAAAGTAAACTGTGCAAACATGGTTCAGCTCTGTTTTCCAGTTTTCTAGACCTGCCATTTATTCTGATCCTGACTCCCACCTCCACCCAATCCCCTTCCCATCTTTGAAACGACATAATCTCCTCTATATAACCCACCGCCTTTTACCATTTAACATGTCACATCATCGGTGCGCTGTATCATCACAGTGGCTGTATAATTTTCATTTTCTACAGTTCTATATATTTTAGAATCATTGTATGTCACTTTACATTGTGTTTCCTTTATATTTCTCCAAACTCCTCTTTTCTTTAAATGTGAATTTTGTTTTCACATCTTGGGCTTTAGTCCATGAGTCCACCAACAGATACACATAGGGTAAGACTGTTGCACAATACAAATAATTTTATCATGTAAGCAGTGCAAACAATCATAAGATCTCAGGAGACTAGATCAACAAGAGATCCAAAAAGGCTAGAAGAGTTTGTATCCACCACTGCCTGACACATATAGTACAAGCATATCAAGTAAAGGAATGTCTAAAGGTCTGACTGTTTCCTGCTGATAGACACCCGTTATCATGGTCATCTTAGACTTCTGAAATTAAAGAATAATGTTTTATCCTTAACCAATTAAAGGTTAGGTGTTTAAATGGCTATATATAGTATTTAAAAGATAATTAAAGCGGGTGCTTTTGCATGTATCTACTGCTAGCAAGCCTTTAATATAAGCAAAAAGTGTAAAAAAAAACAAATAAAAACGCTTTGAAAAGGATTAATACTTACCCGTGTCTTCCCCGCGCTTCCGTCCGAAAATGTGAAAAATCTCGGGCGACCGCAAAGCATCTTGGGGCGGGCGAATGCGCAGATCACATTTTCGGCCGGGACGCAAGGAGAGACACAAGGTAAGTCTATGAACGCGTGCACCCGCATGCAGACACCGTTGGAGAGGAAATGCCCGCAAGCCCAGAGGAGTCAGCGCTGGATCGGAGACCCACCGCAGCGCTGGAGGGACAGATGAAAAGGACAAGAAAGAAGAAGAAGATCGGATTAAGACACATCATTTAAGGTAAGTGCTGACATTAACATTGGGGGGAGGGAAAAACATTTTTGACTTTAATGTCACTTTAATCTGTTTAAACCAATATGGCCTGAATTGATTAATTATACATGCCTTTGCAGCAGAACACCTTATAGTTGTTCTGCTACTTCCTATCTAATCTTGCTATCAAACACATGTACAGTGAAATCGTTATTTCAGTGACTCATTTGCAAGTTATTTTCCATGCCTGCTGTCAAATAGAAGAGCCCATTAAAGTGGTTTTGTTCCGTGTCTTACCTCTCCATGTTTTTGAATATATTGCACTTGTCATCTCTCGTGGTCAGCTGGAAAGCCAGTGCTGCATGATGACTCTCCAGCACCGCCGTGTCATTGTAAAGGATAGCCAACTCACTCCCAGCATTGCAGAGGAAAGAGTTTGTTCTCCCTGGATGATCCACATCATGAACAGTGGCAGCAATAAGAGCAGCAACCACATCAATTGGATCCAAGCTTTGCTGAAAAGAGACAAGAATCACTAATAGCTCAGTCTGGCACATTTGGGAAAATTATGACAATTGGAATGTGCTCCTCTAGGACATAAAAAATGCACTACAGGATCAGCTACAACAAATATTACAAGTTGTGTTCAGTTTAAAGCATAGTTACACAATTCAAAAGTGACACTTTTCTGAGTTGTTGTGTGTGTCGATATACCTTACCTAGCCCAAGAGCCAGGCAGTGCTTAATGGGTGCCAATATACCTTTACTATCCCAGAAGTCAGAGGAGTTCATTTACTAAAGATAAATAAGCTGTTCATTTAGCAAGGTCATTTTCTTTGCAGGGGGAGATTCCCCTTAGTTTAGTGCATGTGTTGAAGCTGCTGACTTCTATCACCCAATCATATGCCATCAAAAATAGTTTATTTTTATTTTCCTTGGACATGATTGAGTATTCTTTGCAAAGTGAAATTTCACCACATTCACCAAACTAGGGAAACTTCCCCTGCAAAGTGCAAATTCCCTTGCAAAGTGAACATCCTATTTGCCTTTAGTAAATCAACACTGTATTCGTTATGAGTAATACACCTTACCTTCCAAAGGTGCCAGCATGTGCCTAATAGGTGTCAATCGATACCTTAACTACCCCAGATGACATTGAGTGCTTGATGTGTGTCAGAAACATGTACCATGGACGGATAGCTAGATTGTGCACTTTATAACAGAGGTAAAAACCTTTCAGACCAGAATTTCTTCCATCTGGATGGATCAAAAGTACATAATGACTACAGTTTCTACAGAGTTAATAGTTGGAACATTGCATCCTAATCCACAAAACAGATGCCTCCACTGGGTAACAATAGTTTGAACATTAGTTCCTAACCTACAAAACAGCTGCCTCCGCTGTTTGTGGGTAACAACTGATCTGTGGTAACCTGAGAAAAATTATGTTAGTATAAGGGATAAAGCATGGAGTTACTACTGTATGCACATTTTTAGGTGTGTTACAATGCCTAATAATGTGGAGAGACTCAATTCCTCTAATACTCATGTATTCCCTAACATATGGAGGTTGGAAGATATGAAGCAAGGTAAGTAATTTATGATATAATTACTCATCAGTATCAACTTGGAATGAGTTATGTGATCACTGTCCAACTGCCACACATTCCTAACTGTACTCTGTGTTACAGCCAACAGCATCCTAATAATATTAACCGTGTTCAGGTAGACATGAAAGCCTTTAAGGGCACTTAAATGATCCATTTGTAGCTTACCTTTACCCTTTCTTTGCACAGGAAGTAAGCAGTGGCATGTAAGACATCAGCGGAATGTGTTGAGTTATGATAAGAATTGCTTGAATGGTAGTTTGACTCAATAATGTGAAGCCAAGATCTTAACGTTACTTCTGAGCAATTCAAGAATTGACAAACCTCAAATCGAGCAAACAGTTTGAGGCCAAGGTACACTAAGGGCCTGTGTGAAAAGAGAAAATTCATGCTGTCAGAGGAAAAAAATGGAAACTTTCAAAAATGCTACATAATAGAGAAGAAAAATGATAACTACAATACTCTGACATACGTAACATAAATTATACACCAGGCACCTTTTTCACTGCTATCTTCAAACTTGGTCCTGCCTCAGACTCCTACCACCCAGATTTACCCCATGTAACCTCCTTCATCTAGCACCATGTAATGTTTAACTTATAAATTACTCTTCTGGATTAATTACTGGTCTGTTACTCTTAATAACAAAGCTGCAGTGGCATGTAAATCCCATTACTCGTCTGTCTTCCACATTCTCAAGAAGCTGGAGGTTTGGAGTCTCTGTAAGGCCATAATGCATAATGGTTTAGGCCACCTACCCACCACTGTGCAGAAGAAGACTTTTACGATGAATGATCACATAAAAACTGGAACCATATAGGAAATACCACCTTAACTATTATGGCGTTCAAGAAGGTAGTGAATAAGCGTACAGGAAAAACCATTTAACAGCTCCAGTATATTAGCATGTAAACTCAAAAAAATCTTAACTGTATTAGAATTCTGCACCTATACATATCTACACATATCAGATGCACTGCATATTAAGAAATTACTGCAGAATTATGGCATCCAAGAACCACAATCTCCTAAACACTTTGATGACAGCAAACAATGGCTATAGGACAGGAAAATCTAACCAGGCCGGGACAGAAATGTTTAAACAGACTGCACAACTGCTGATCTTAATCATTATTTTGAATTTCTAGGCCTTCATGTGATGTAAAAAGTAGGGTCCATTGACACAGATGTAGTTTTATGCATTTTCAGCTTATGAGAAAGTGGTGCAGGTATAATTAAAATGGGTCATCTTCAACTCACAATTTGAAAATGCCAGAAACACTTAACAGCCTTATTCAGTACCACAGCAGCCACTCATTTTTAAGTTTTCTGTATTCCAAATAGTCAAAACCTTTCACAACCTTGAAAAGTTCAAATGAAGCATTGAATGAAAAAAATGCACAAGCAGTACAAACTGCATGTCAAAACAGTCAGTAGATCTAGAGACAGTTAGTTACATTTAAATATGCAAATCCTGACTTTTAGTCAAGCTTGGCCCCCCCTCTTGAGCCTACGTACTGGACAAGGAGGCTGCACGCAATGTTAAAGGGTCAACAGGAAGGCTAAGAACATGAAAAGTAAGCTGGATTTTTACTGAAAATGAATAGATTTGCAAAGAACGTCAGCTCTGTATGCACTAATTGTTTTGATGTTTTTCACCATATGTTCAGTTTGAACTACCTATGTTTGTAAAATAATGTTAGAAGCTGATTCCTGAGTTTTGTATGCCATTCTCTGGTTTATTTCAAACAATATGGGGAGGTATCCAAGAACCAATAACAACCAATGTGAAAAAAAGCTCCAGTAATTGCTTGTTATGGATTACAGTACTTTGTACCACTTTATTAAACAAAACTTTGATATCAATGAGATTTGGAGACATGCCTTTCTGGCCTTTCTCATTGAAAGAAAATACTATGCCCCATGTCAATCTGCAGAACTACAGGTCTCAAGAAGTCCCACTTTTTCAATGTTTTTTTTCAGATGGTAAGAGATCTCTAAAGAGATCCTCTTAAAGATCAGTCAGAAACTTGTTATAGGTAACTTGAAATGTCTGTCTTTGATGTTGTCTATCATTAGGGGAATTCCAGGGCTTATAATAAAACAATGTTTTGTATAAGCAGCAAAGTCAAAATCCCATTCGCACTACCACGGTCTCAAAGTCCACAAGGTATACGTGGTGCTCAAGGTGACCACACGGAAGGCGCCGTGCAAACACTAGTGATAAATAAAGGTATTTCACCGTTACACACTTGAAAAGTGTGTGCCGGTGAAATACCTTTATTTATCACTACTTTTGTATAAGCAGACACACTATATGGCTAAGTTAGTTGTATATTACACCTTTTATGAGTAGCAGCCTCTAGTTCAAAAATATTAAATTCCCAATTTTCTTCATTCTCCATTGCTTTTGCTATCCGCGGTGGGATGTCAGAAAGGGTGAGAGAGGAGATTAGGTGCCCAGAAGACGGATGGACTTCTGTTACAATGACAGCAAAACACAAGAGAATTTAGTAAATTAGTGATCATTTCAACAAAAATGATTAATGGTCTAAGATGACCTATGAGAAGAACTTACGTTTTGATGAGAATAAGTACTCATTCCCTGAAAGTCTTCTTAAACCATCCTAAAAAAAATTTAAATACAATTAAAATATGGACTTAAAAAGTTAATTAAACAGCTCTAGCAGTGTGACATTAAAGCAACAAACAACAAACAAATGCTCCTCAGAGGGATCGAGCAGAACAGAAAAATAGTTTAAAAAGTACAAAAAAATAAATACAAAACGATTGTGCGGAGCTAGCAATGACAGCTAGCTCCGCCCAACAGTTTTCTATTGGCCGGCGGTTCTGCTGCCATCAAAAAAAAAAACTCTCCCGGGCGCTCTGGGAGTCTCCCGCTCCCGGCCGTCCAGGAGAGAAACACTGCTTTTTCTTTTTTTTTCTTTATTCTGACACGGAGCCGTAGGAATGCATTGCTAGATTCCTATTGGCTATTTCAATTTGCAATAGCCAATAGTAAACTAGCATTGCACCCGCCCTCGGCTGATGGACCTGATGGAGAACTGCAGCAGAGGGCGGGTGCAATACTAGTTTACTATTGGCTATTGCAAATTGAAATAGCCAATATGAATCTATCAATGCTATCGGCTCCGTGTCAGAATAAAGAAAAAAAAAAGAAAAATCAATGTTTCTCTCCTGGGCGGCCGGGAGCGGGAGACTCCCGGAGCGCCCGTGAGAGTTTGCTGTCTGGAGATCAGTGTCCCTGGTTAGCTGGTAACCAGGGACGCTGATCTCTCTGCAAGTGGCTGGAGCCAGCCATAAGATCACGTCTGGCTCCGCCCAGCTGACAGAAGCAGGCTTTCAGCGCAGCTCAGCCGAGGCATATGCCTTCGGCTCAACTGAGCCGCTCGGCTAAGTTCGGGAGCTGTACGGGCTATTGAGAATAGCCCGCACAGCAGCCCTTGGGTTCTATTGAACCGAAGGGGTCCTGAGGCCGAAGCTAGGCGAAGGATCGGCCGAAGCTACGGCTAGATCCTTCAGCTTTTTCGTGAATAGACCCCCGAATATACTATATCCACAGCCATTCCTCTGTCCAATTTATTACTCACTTCCTCATAAAAAGAAAGTAGGTTTGTTTGACAACTTCTGTCTTTTGTGAATCCGTGCTGACTATCGCTTATAATATTATTTTCAAGCAGAAACAATTGCATGTGATCCTTGATCAAACTTTCAAGTATCTTGCCAACTATTGAGGTTAAACGTACAGGTCTGTAATTACTTGGTAAAGACTTTGATCCCTTTTTAAATATAGGCACCACATTGGCTTTGCGCCAATCCATCGGTACCAAGCCAGTCATTAGAGAGTCTCTAAAAATTAGATACAATGGCTTTGAAATTACAAAGCTCAATTCTTTAAGGACACATGGGTGTAAGCCATCTGGTCCAGGTGCTTTGTTCATCTTAATTTTGTCCAACTGTTTCTGGACCATATCAATAGTCAACCATTGTGGTTCAGTAGAGGCTATGGCACTGCTATCCCCATTATGGACTTGAGTTACATCCTGTTCCTTGGTGTGCACAGAGCTGAAGAAAGTATTTAATAGATTTTTCTTCTCTTTGTGCGCAGATACCAACTCTGTGTTATCTTTTAAGGGGCCAACATGTTCCGACCTGATTTTTTTTTACTATTAATATATTTAAATAATTTTTTGGGGTTAGTCATGCAATCTTTTGCAACCTGTCGTTCGTTTTGAATCTTTGCAAGCTTTATTTCCTTTTTACATATGTTATTATATTCTTTGTAGCTTTCAAATGATGACAGTGTTCCTTCATTTTCATATTGTTTAAACGCCCTTTTCTTATTGTTTATGGCTTTTTTAACATTGGAGTCAGCCACATGGGTTTTACTTTTAGGTTTTTAGGTGTGATGGTATCATCATTATTTCAGTCTACATCATGTGAACAGTTATTCAACATTATAATCATACTGGGGGTCACAATAGGCTCCTTTTTAGTATGGCGACAGTGTACAGATGACTAAACCCTCACCGAGCCCCAAAACCACACTCTATGTGGAACTCTAATTTACGTGTTGCTGACATTCTGGCTTTACTGATAATCATTCAGTTGGTAAATCTTTTGGAGTGCTTGGGTGCCATACCCTTTTCTGTAAGAATAAAATAAAGACTTCTTCTGACTATACTCAAGAACTGTCCAGAAGTTTTCAAAATACAAAAAGTTCAGCCCCAGGTATTGCCAGTCTACTGTATTGATTACCTTATTTGTGATCAGAAGTAGAAGGACAGAAGGCATTTGAGCTTGTTGTAATGTATGTTTAATGCTTGCCCTATGTTGTTAGTGTATTGTCAGCCAGGAATAAATGCACACTTACTGGTGTGAACCTACCTGTTAGGGATCACTTTTAATAATCTATGAAGGTTCTAATTAATCCTGGTAATGGTATTGCTATTAGTAATAAGTCACATTGAGATGGACCACATTACTTGTCTAAGTTTTTCGTTTGATTGAGATGCTTATTGGGAGCATATCCCAGCATTTATACCTAAATAGGCAACTCAAATAAAACCGTTCACAACTTTTTTCACACCTCCAGTCATGTTCTTAAACAATTAAAATCCACCTTGACATATTTCATAACACCATGGTGATTGAATTAAAGTGACTAGGTTGAGGTATGTTCCTGACACACATTTGAACTAAGGAAGCCACTTGGATGAGTGGGGAAACGTCCAGTTGATTGTGATATCTAAAACTAAGCAATGAGAATTGACTGTAACTACTACAAAGAACAATATATTTTGGGCTGAAGGATGCTTACCTTCAAATTAAAAAAGAAGTACAGTTTAGAAACCTACTACAACATTTTTTGTAGTAGAGGTCTGTGTAGACATCGTAGGTCGGAATCCTTCAAATATATTAAGGATGATACAACCTTTTCATTTATCACTGGAACACTTAAAGATAATTTTCCTACTGCTGTAACTTTAGGTAACGAAACTTATTTTACAATTTTGCTTATGAGGTGTTAGAGTTTTAATTTAACTGTGATTGTGACATCCATGAGATTAACATAGCATTTCTTAAACTGTAAAAGAATTCCAACCAAGTTGTAAATGAAAGAGCCTGTCCAGTGCTTTATATTTACAGGCTAATAAAAAAATATTTTCTAATTTCTTACAGTAATGAGCTCCTGTGTATCTTAGGATTTTTTCTGTGCCGTGGGTTACAAGAGTGTTCAGCTCCGCTTTCAGCTTTGTCAGGAATGCTGTGCCTACGATCTGTTCATTTAATTTTGAAAAACAGTCCTGCTATTTTAGAGATATGTTTTGTGATGAGCAGGGATAATGTGTGGATAATTGGATTTTTGTACTTGCCATGAACATCATTTTTCGGAATTCATTGAAGCACACACGTTGTCAGAGACAATTGGGTTATACTTCCGCCTACAGGCAGCTTTGGACAATGGCAAACAAAAAAGTTACCAGAGGGTATAACTCTTCTCATTTCCAGGAAGTCTCAGATTTGTAGAAAAGCAATACTAAGAACAAGATCATAGCAGTAGAGGCCACCAATGCCGCAGGCAGATCAGATATAGATGCTGTAGGGGAAGCCATGGAAGCACACTTTTGGCCTCTGCAAAAAGAATCAGCAATCAGGGTTGAAATTTGTCACCTAATACTCTGCATAACTGTGGTGAAATTGTCTCAGGATAGCAGGGAACTATACCTTATAGACCAAAGGAAGATTCTGAGCAGTGTAAAGACTCAAGTAGAGGACAGAGTTTCAGGCTGTCTGTGTCAGGCCCTTCAGATGAAGGGGCCTATTACAGTGTCAGGGATAACATAGCTCAGGATATAATGCTGAACCTTGTGCACTTACAAACCCGTGCAGAAAGCAGGAGAGGTCCAGACAGCCGCAGATGACCAGGACCAGGGACCAGTTAATGAGGGGAAGCTCTGCTGACTTCTATCATCCAATCATGTACAAGCAGCACTACTCTTTTTATCTTTGCACGTGATTGAGTGTTCTTTGCAACGTGAATTTTAAGCACATTCACTAAGCCAAGGGAAGATTCCCTTGCAAAGTGAACAGCCTATTTGCCTTAAGTAAATCAACTCCATCAGTAAGGAATCAGTTAGTATCCAAAGCTCCATAGGCGGCATTTAATATATGCCATGAAATAAAAATATCATCATAGCATGGTCAGACCAGGAGACTTCAAAATCTTCTGCAGATACAATAAACTTGATCTAAATGATAAAGTTAATTTAGGTGTACAGATTGTGTGGATATCAATAGAAAGTTAAGTCCATTGTACTTGATGCAGTTCCTTCCACCGACTCCAGATGTTTAATTTGTGAACAGAGGTGATTAGATGCATAGCAAGAGACTAGTGAGTTTTATCGGAAGACTATATCTAGAGGGAGGGGATCAAGCTAGATATTTAAAAACATCTTTTGTAAGGGGAAATATAGAGACTGCAATTCATGCAAGCCCCTGGTCCAGAACCAAGTTACAGGTTAGGAGTTCTGACTTAAGTCAAACTTCCTTTGAAGTGGCCTCCTATTTGAACGCATCAGTCTTTTAAAAAGAGTTTACATTGCCCAGTTGGTGTGTACACATTTACAAGCATAAAAGATTAAACTAGTAGATTTGTGGTTATAATTTTGCATCTCTCATCATGTTATCTATAAAAATAGTCCTGTATTAAGGACAATCGTTTTGCAGTGGTATGGTGCGCCAACATTTGTTAGATTCTGTGGGGGAGCAGTAAGTACGGGAAAGGCATTTGTGCCTGTATTAGGTTTGTGTTCATTCTTCTAGTGAGTCTTTAGGAGTAAAAGTATGGTCTCCCTAAAGCCTAATATATACAAAATATACAACGGAAGATAGGATATCTTTACACTATGCAAAAGTGTTACTGAATTAATAAATGGGGTATAACCCCCCCCCCCCCCCCCCTTTTTTTTTTTTAAACA